GTAAGGGGAGAAGGGAGGCCATCAAAAAAAAAAAAAAAAAAAGAAATCAAGTTAAATGTCTATTTACAAAGTAATTATGCATTTTGATCTTCTGTCTGAAATGAGAAGTAGTGATGTCGGTCAAAAGTCGGAGACAGTCAAAAACAAGTTGTTAGAACGGGCTGTATTGTTTTTAAAACTCTCAGACAGTAAATAAGAAACTGGCACCTGCAGTGTTTCTCACTTCGCCAAAACATTTCTCTGTCTGTTCCTAAAACATTCCTGCTGTTTTCTTGACTTGTAATGACCCTCTGACATCACTAGAACCACTCCCTGTTGGTTGCTTCAACCAATCAGGAAGTACTAAAAGTGACCGGAAGCAGAACTCTTTAAAAGTCGACACTTCCTGGAACTATTAATGTTCTGGGAGAGTTCTAGCAGTTCTGTAGAGTTCTGGAGTCGTCTGAAGTCTTCCTGGAATCCGGTGGAGTTTTTCCACTGCTGAGTGGAACTTCGGACTCAGTTTTTCCAGTCTGATGGTCATCCATCTCTGCTGTAGTCACGGCGCCTCGCTGTGACTTCACCCAGCGAATGCCCTACAACTTCTGAGGAAGTTTGTTCTGTTGAACGGAGTATCTCACGACTTCTGCCGAGTCGCAGCCGCCCTGAGGAGACGCTGAAAGGTAGCGTGCCAGGGACCTCTTGACCGTAGCGGACCCATCGTCACGAGCTTCACGCACTAAGTGGACCGTGGGCGAGCTGCGTTTGAAAGGAGCGTGTTGTTCTGGTCCACAGACATACATCTTTCTCCATTTTCCACTCTCCCTTTAAACTCCTCCATTTTTCCCATCTTTAAACTTCTATCTTGCCAGTAATTAATCTAAATGCCTTCAGAAATGTCTGTTGTTTTTATTAAGTAAAACGTGCCAAGTTTTATTAATCAGAGCCAGATCAGTCTAATCAAGTGTACAATGTTTTGATGTTAAATTTTGATTCTGTTCAATAAATGACCACATTTATTTTGATGGGTCAAAGAAAATTAACGTCTCATGTCACTGATTAAACCATCTACGCACTGTTACTTCTGTCACATGGCTGTAATTAGCTCGAAAAAGAGAGAACTCGTTATTTAAATATAAGTGTAGTGAAGCTACAAAGCTAACCTAGCCCTTAGAACACTACACACACAACTAGAGAATTTGCATTTCCTTCGAAAATGCACGTGTGAATGCCATTTAAGGCCATCCCAGCAAAGCACCGCTCCGGCCATGCCGCGACCGCAGGAGCTTCAGCCCCTCCACCCAGTCGCCATCGCGAACACTGTCATGCCAATCCCACACACGTTCACCATGATGCGCATTTCCTGAATGTTTGACATCGCCTTCCGTCCATTTCAGTAGTAATCTAGCTCCAGGTCTTACAAGTATATGTGAAATCCGACTTTCCAGACAGGAGTTATTGTGACTTCCTGTTTTCTTGCGAACGTTTGACGAGCACTTCATATATGCTTTTCCACATGTCGCGTGGTAATCAACAGTTTCAGTTGTATAAATTACACAGGGCCAAGCTGGAAGAGTCACCCAATAATTGACAGTTCATTCTCTGAGTGGGTGGGCCTTAAATCATGTCATGAATCAACAATACCAGTGTGTCTGTAGGTGTTCACTTATGAAGCACAAAAAATTCCGTTCAGATCGGATGATGTATCACTGAGATATAACTATTAGAATAATGTAGGGGGCGCACTCGAGTTAAATGTTAAACAAAAACAATAATGTGTCTAGAATTTGTCCACAAGTGCTCACACATCATGCACAAAAAATCTGGCGCATATTAGATATGTCACTGAGATATAAGTGTTGGAATAATCTAGGGGGCGCACTTGAGTCAAAAGTTAAACAACAATACAAATGTGTCTAGAAGTGCTCACTGATCAAGCACAAAAAAATCTGGTGCAGATCGGATGATGTATGGCCAAGATATAAATGTAAGAATAATGTAGGGGGCGCTATCGAGGCTATTGGCCACTTTTCATGGATTCCTGTTCAAGGGGTGGATAATGATCGATCATACTGTTTTTGGTGCACCTCGGCTCAAATCTGTGGAATTTAGAGCCAAACGTATAGCGACGGCGTTACGTTTTACTTCGCCATGACATGCCGCCAACATGCTCCACCCAAAACTGTCAGTGTTGGAAAGCAAGTTACACCAACATGTTTGGTCACTGGACACACTATCATGGTGATTAGATCACAGGGGTCAGCTTGTGGCGTTCAACGTAAAACTTTACACTTCCTGTTGTCAGGGGGCGTGGCTTAAGTGATGTCATGATTTGACCATTCAGTCTTGCAGAGGACGGGATGTGGATCAATCACTGAAGGTTTGATGTTTCAGACAGTTTTCATGTAGGAGCTATTAGCGTTTCGTTTTTAATTTCAAAATTAACTACTGGTAAACTGCAATGTATCTGTTCCTGCTGCTAGAGGCAGCCTCCCAACATGGAGGACGTACACGAAATGCCCCTTTTGTTACGTCACATGGGAACTATGTATTGCATATTTGCTGAAATTTCCCCAAAACTCAAGTCAATCAACTTATTAATTTGAGTGAAGTCCAGGGAGAACAGATGTGTTTTCAGTCTGGACTTAAACTGATCTACTGACAGAGTTTCACAGACAGACAGAGAAGGCTGTTCCACAGTCTGGGTGCTGCCAAAGAGAGCGCTCTGTCACCTCTAGTCTTCAACCTCGCTTTAGGGACAGCCAACAAGAGCTGGTCGGCTGACCTCAGGGCTCTGGATGGAGTGTAGGGCTGCAACTCACTTAGGTAAGATGGGCCCATGGAGTTTAAACACTTCAAAACAATCAACAATAAAACAGTCTATTTTAACAGGGAGCAGAACCAGAACTGTGATGACAGACCTGCCCAGGAAGTTGGGAAGTGTTTGTTGTGATGACCTGAACAGGAAATGTTTTTAATTACGATGAATTGTTTCTGTTTGTGTCGTCTCCAGTTTGGTGTTGCAGTGGTCATAACCAACCAGGTGGTGGCGCAAGTGGATGGGGCAGCCATGTTTTCTGCAGATCCCAAGAAACCAATTGGAGGGAACATTCTGGCTCATGCCTCCACCACACGGTGGGTTCCCCTCAGAGGAACGTGACGTCTCAGTCCTAAGGCTGGTCTGAGTTTAACCGTTTGTGTCCTCTGCAGTCTGTACCTGAGGAAGGGTCGAGGAGAGACCAGGATCTGCAAGATCTACGACTCCCCCTGCCTGCCAGAGGCCGAGGCCATGTTCGCCATCAATACTGACGGGGTTGGAGATGCCAAGGACTGACGAGCCTGCTTCGCTCGCTCTGTGTGTGTGTGTGTGCATATGTGCGCGCATGCATGTGGTTTTCTGGCTTCTTTCTGGTGAAAGTCTTTGTAACAAAGCAGTATCTAAATGTAAAATATTTTCTTCTTTCAGCTCCACCGCTGCTCTTTTGTCTTTGTTTCTGTACAAACGTTTCAGTCAAAATTAAATTAGTTTTATGATTTAAAAAAAATTTTCTCCGGCACTGTGTGGTGTAAACTCATTCAACATTATATCAAGGTTCATGATCAATAATTCAATTCAGTTTATTTATATAGCACCAAGTCACAACAGAAGTCATCTCAGGGCACTGAACAGGTTCAAGGTTCTTTATTATCGAAAAAGATCCATGCTCAATAATCCAGGTATACAATCCAACAATTTTCAGTCAGGTCATCTGGACAGTTTATTTTATTTTGCTGAAACGTTTCACCTTCCATCCAGAAGGCTTCATCAGTCAAGTAAGCACACAACATCCTTTTAGTTGGCAGCTCAGAACACCACATACAGAACACCGTGGACTTTGTGGATAAGGTCAGGGATGTCATCATGGAGACTGATGAAACAATGGTCTCTTGATGTCACAACACTCTTTATGTGCATTCCTGTTAAAGATGCAGTAGAGGTGGTCAGTTTAAGATTAAAATCAGACACCACTCTGAGCACCAGGACCACTCTTTCCACAGAGCAACTGTGTCAATTCTTGAAACTCCCTGCAGTCAACCTACTTCACATGTGGGGGCCAATATTATAGGCAGAAACATGAGAGTGCTATGGGGTCTCCAGTTTCTCCTATTGTGGCCAACCTGTACATGGAGGAGGTAGAAAAGAGAGCCTTGACGTCCTTTTCAGGGACACTCCCAAGTCATTGGTTCAGGTATGTTGATGACACTTGGGTTCAAATTAAATCTCAGGAAGTCCAACATTTTACTGACCACATCAACTCTGTGGATAATATATCAAGTTCACACGAGAAGATGTAAAAAATGGCAGGCTGGCTTTCATGGACTGCGAGGTCTCAGTTTCTGATAGAGGAAATTTGCAAACAGGTGTACCGCAAACCCACCCACACAGACCAGTATTTGCAGTTTGACTCCCATCACCCTTTGGAGCACAAGTTAGGAGTCATCAGGACTCTGTACCACAGAACAGACAGCATCCCCACTAACTCAGAAGCCAGGCAGAAGGAGAAATCCCACACAAGACAGACTAGAGCAATGTGGATGTCCTAACTGGGCCTTCCTGAAAGCAGAGAAGAAACCCAAACAGGACTCAAGTCAGCCATCAGGTGAAAAGGAGGAACCCAGACCAGTGGTCATTCCATATGTTGAGGGAGTATCAGACAAACAGACGTTTATTTTCTAAACATAACGTCCCAGTGGCTTTTAAACCCCAAAATGCATTACGGCAAAGACTGGTTCATCCCCAAGATCCAGTCCCCCGGCACAAACAGAGTAATATTGTGTATGCTGTTCAGTGTCAGGAGGGCTGTGATCAGTCTTACATCGGGGAAACTAAACAGCCACTGGCCAAAAGGATGGCCCAGCACAGAAGATCAACATCATCAGGCCAGGACTCTGCAGTCTACACTCATCGCCAAGCCAGCGGTCACTCTTTCAAGGATGAAGATGTTCACATCCTTGATAGAGAGGAACAATGGTTTGAGAGAGGTGTAAAGGAGGCCATCTTTGTGAAAAGAAACTGTCCATCATTAAACAGGGGCGGATGCCTCCGTGTTCAACTGTCCACCTCTTACAATGCTGTTATTGCTAGTATCACTCAGCCCTCTGTGAACAGCAAACAGCCATCAGGGTGCTAATGATCCATCGTTAGGCTGATCGTCCTCCTTGAACATGTGAGCAGCTGGTTTTGGCTGTCAGCAGCAAACTGGTTGATCCACTTTGAGAAGGTGCTATTTATAAGACTAAGCTGCATACAGTACCTCAGACTGAAGAAGTCTTTCCGATGAAAGACAAAACGTTTCTACAATTTTTTTTGTTTTGTTTTTTGAATATCCAGTGGACCAGACTTAACTTTTTTAGATCCTGTCTTGGTTACCTAAATCTATTCTGGACAAAGATGTATCGTTCAAATTGTCCCGGAATAGGTGTAGCAATATATGTCAGATAATACAACTACAAAATTAGCACCTAAGCAACAAATTAAAGTTGAGCATGGACTTTGTTGTTTTGAACAAGTTTCACTTTTTTTTTAAATTAACCTTTATTTAATCAGGCATGACTGTTGTAGTGAACTCGGCCTCCGACCAAAACCTGCCTCTGAGGACCTTCATGGGACAGGAACTGTTATTTCATTGATTTGAATCCAGAAATACAAATTAGCTCATCCAGAGACTGTCTGTATCCTGAAGTAATCAATTGAAAGAACACTCTTATTTTATATTATCATTACTATTTTACAATATCTTGATAAATCAAAAGTGTGTTTAGTTCATACCATTTCTAAATGTTGAAGTGAACCACATTTTAAATCAACTGTGAAACAGTATTAATGATTTTTTAATCCTCATTTAAATTAGAAATCAAGTTAAATGTCTATTTACAAAGTAATTATGCATTTTGATCTTCTGTCTGAAATGAGAAGTAGTGATGTCGGTCGAAAGTCAGAAAGGAGTTATTAGAACGAAGTGGATTGTTTTTAAACCTAGCAGACGGTAAATAAGAAGCTACTGGCATCTGCTTCCTCCCACTTCGCCATAACATGTCTTCTGTCTGTACGGGACGTTTCTAAAACATTCCTGCTGTTTTCTTGACTTGTAATGACCCTCTGACATCACTAGAACCACCCCCTGTTGGTTGTTTCAACCAATCAGGAAGTCCTGAAGTGACCGGAAGTGAGAACTTTTAAGAGTCCACACTTCCTGGAACTTCTGAGTCTGTCTTCAGTCTTCAGCCTTCTTGAGTCTTTGACCAGAGTCTTCCTGGGGTCTTCTTCAGTCTTCATGGAGTCCTCCACTTCTGAGTGGAATCTCCGACTGAAGTCTTCCAGAGAGTTCCTAAGGGTAACGCCCTACAACTTCTAAGGAAGCTTATTCTGTTGAACGGAGTACCGTCACTACTTCGGATGATTCTCAGCCATCCTGACCGGAGACGCTGAAAGGTAGCGTTGAAATGGATCTCTGTACCGGAGCTGACCTATCTTCTGCAAAGGTAACGAGTCGCCAAGCACCGAGTGTACCGGGGCTGAGCTGGGGTCGAATGAAGGGTGCCATTCCTAGTCAACACACTTTCCCTCATCCATCTTTTCTCTCCATTTAAACTCCTTCATTTCCCATCTTTAAACTCTTCTATTTTGCCAGTAATTAATCTAGATGCCTTCAGAAATGTCTGTTGTTTTTATTAAGTAAAACGTGCCAAGTTTTATTAATCAGAACCAGATCAGCTAATCAAGTGTACAATGTTTCGATGTTAAATTTTGATTCTGTTCAATAAATGACCGCATTTATTCTGATGGGTCAAAGGAAATTAACGTCTCATGTCACTGATTAAACAATCCACGCATAGTTACCTCGGTCACATGGCAGTAATTTAAATCGAAAAAGAGAGAACCCGTTTATTTAAATATATTGTAGTCAAGAGCAGCTAACCTAGCCCTTAGCACGCTACACTGTCGATGAGGGAGAGGGCAGGCACCGGAAGAGAGGGCGTGCCCCAGAGACCATCTTAGCACCAACATAACTGGTTTGTTCTACCTTGGAGTAAGCTTTTGGGGGAAGAATCAGTTTTGTGTTGTGTGTTTCCTTGACTGATGAAGCCTTCTGGTTGGAATGTGAAACATTTCAGCACACAAAAAAAAAGAACTGTCCAGATGACCTGACTGAAACATGTTGAATAGCACCTAAGCAATTTGAATTCTTGACACTAAACATTGATCTGTCTGGTGGTCCATCATTATCTGTTGTTGGCTGCTATAGACCCCCCACATCTGAAAGCTTGTCTTTAATGCAACTTTTGTCTAATTTAAAATGGTGAATGGTAAATGAACCTTACTTATATAGTGTCTTTCTATCTTATTTCAAGATACTCAAAGCACTTTACACTACAATCTGTGTCCTCATTTACCCATTCATACAGCACTCTACTAGATCTCTACAAATCTAATTGAACAAATCATTCTAATGAGACTAATCAGTGCTCAATTTACATCCCAATAAAATTGTTCTGGTAGGTGATTTTAATTTAGATTGTTTCCCGTGTCTAACGAATTTAACAAATTTTGTTTCAGTTCAATTCAAAAATACTTTATTAATCCCGAAGGGAAATTATTTGTTGTTGTAACTTGTTATCCTCATTTCATTAAGAGATGTTATAGGTTGCTTTCACACCTGATAGTCCGGTAGACTCGATTCGATTGGGGACCAATATCCATAACATTTTGTTTACATTTGAGCTGGTGCGTTTGCATTCACACTGCACAGTGCAGTCGAGCCAACCTGTTCGAACCAACCTGTTCCCGCACTCGCCTGTGGTGGCGCTGCACCAAGAACTACTGAAAGAAACTATACAAAAACCTCTGAAGGCCTTCTTCTTCTGGAAATAAAAACAAAAACGGAGTGGCATCAAGTTTCAGCAGTTTTAGGAGTTATATTTTGTCATTTTTCTAAAATGGACTCGGCATGAGTGGAAGATGAGGCAGAAGATCATGGAGAATGTTGTTTTTCACACAAGGCAGCTGACGACTCCATATGAGGTAAGAGAAATGTGTGTTTGTTTGCCCTGCGCTGTACTCCTCTTCTTTTTTTCATTCAACCCTTATTTATACAGGTTTGTCCCATTGAGCCTCAGGGACTCATTTACAAGAGAGACCTGAAATACGATCAATACGTCATACGACAGACAAAGTCAGTAAGGTGAGAAATAATATTTCTTCACCTGCACCTGGGCTAACTGTTTCCTCTCTAGCTCGGCCTGTTATTTTAGACTCCTTCCAGCCAGTGTCCCTTCATGAGCTTGCTAAGCTTG